GAAAATACCATCGTAGGTTATGTTTCAACCATGGAGAAGCTATTCGAAATTAAGTATGACTGTGTTGACAACGCGTTCGACGCATAACTCGATTGTTGCATTACTAAGCGATCCATCAACTGATAAATTATACTTTTCTTGAAAGTTAATCAGCAGAGTAGAGAGATCGGTATTATCAATAAAAATAAAAATAGCAAAATAGTAAACCCCATTTTCCAGAGGATCGTCGCCGGACCCCCCACCGACCTCCCACACCACACACACACACACACCACAACACACAACACACAACACACAACACACACAATCTTTAAAAACATTCTTTCTCCCCCTGTACACTGCACCTTACTATCATCACAACCGCCCGCGAACACAACAACACCGATAAGGCCGACCTGCAGCCGTCCGTCGCTGTTTTGTATCACTTCCGGTCGGGTTCCCGCGTAGAACATCTACTCACTACTAGCATCTCCAACTAAGCTAGTAGATGCGCTAACTTTGGCCTTAGAATTCGAAGCCGCTAAAAACACAAATAAAAGCCAGGTGCGAGTCCGCCAGATGGTACCAGGGAGGTATCGAGTTCGAAGAGTCCGTCAAGCGCATTTTTAAGGAACTTGATGGTGAACTACGCTGTCCTGAAGGTGCTAGTGCCTCTGCCGGCCAATCCGGAAAACTAAGGGAGGTCGATGTGAAGGGGCCATCCAAGTCTCGTCGCTTAAACCATCAAGTCTAATAGTGTTTTTTTTCGATGATTTTGTGTGATGGGACTCTCCGTACTGCTAGATACAGGTGCGACAAAAAGACTATCATAATGTCCGACATGGTGAAAGCATCGGCGAAGATTCGACCATCGAAATGGGGAATACGAATGGCGACGGGTGACCGAGCAAACGTGTACGGTGAAGTAAACATCGAGTTGTAGTAGGAAAAGCTACATTCGAACATCCGGCGATAGTAGCGATATTGGGGATGAGGTAATCATCGGAATGGACATCATGGACACAAAGGGTTCGAGTTGAACTTTAAGCAAGGAATCTTGAGAGACAACAATGAGGAGGTCATTTTACACACCGGGAACGGAATGGAAACGTACGAGTTGTATTGTCTGAAGATACCGTGATCCCAGAACGAAGCGTAGTTGTATTGAATAGCTCGGTAGAGGACCAGACTACAGACGGAGAAATAGTCATGTTTGAATCTAGGATGCATGACGAGGCTATTGGCCGAGGGATAGCAGTTACAAAGGCCCTTGTGCGTGCGGATGAAACTATTCCTGTGAGACTAATGGATGTCCGTCATTACCCTGTGTCATTGAAGAAGGGCTCGGAGCTGGGACACTGCGTTCAAGTTTCTGCGATCATTCGAAATGTGCCAGCTGTGGAAAACTCAGGGGTCATTCCTAAGGAACTGGAAGAATTGATATCGTCATCAGGCACAGATCTAAGACCAGACCAAAGAAAGAAACTGAAACATTTAAGACATAGATATCGGGATGTATTCGATACTGGACAGAAAAGAAGAACCAATATAGTCCAGCACAAGATCAATACAGAAAATGCCCGCCCTATCCGGCAGATGGCAAAAGGTTGCTAAAGAGAGGAGGCTGACAAGATCGTAGACAGTATGGCCAACGAGGGAATCATTGAACCGTCCAACAGTCTATGGGCCTGACCAGTAGTTTTGGTTAAAAAGAAAGATGGTTCAACCACATTTTGTGTGGACTACCGAATGTAAAAACACGTGACCAAGAAGGACATCTACCCTCTACCGCGTATTGATGGTATTCTGGATACCCTGGATCAAAATATTTTCCACCCTAGACCTAAAAAGCGGATAATGGCAAGTAGAAATTGGCCCTTGAAGATCGGGGGAAGACAGCATCCACGGTGGGCACAGGGTTTATGGCAGTTTAAATGTGATTCCATTCGGTCTGTGCAATGCTCCTGCCACCTTTGAAAGGCTGATGGACACGATTCTAAGAGGACTATCCTGGAAAACGTGCCTGGTTTACCTTGATGACATTATTGAGGTGCGAAAATCATTTGGGGACCAAATAAGAGAACCTAGAGGAAGTTTTCTTAAGCTACGAGGTTCTGTTTGAAATTAAGCCAATAAATGCCACCTGCTTCAAAGAGCTGTGCAGTATCTTGGTCATTTGGTTTCCAGTCAGGGAGTCGCGGTCACAAGAAGAAAATCCAGACGTAAACAGAATGGCCAGTTTTCCGTAGGACAAACGTGAGCTACTCAGCTTCCCAGGATTGTGTACATATTACCGACGTTACGTGGAAGCAGTTGCTATCATCGCAATGCCATTGAGACCAGGCTGACAGAAGGGAACGCAAATTCCCAATGGGATCAGAATTTCAACAAGCTTTTAACCCACTTGAAAGAAGCTTAACAAGCGCCCTATACTCCTCTAGGCACTGCCAGAAGGCAAGTTATGTTAGACACTGATGCTAGCAATGTGGGCAAGAAGAGAAGGTCATTGGGTATTTTGAGCAAAACACTGTCCAAACCAGAGCGTAACTATTACGTTACCTTGGGATTTGCTGGCCTTAGTAAAGGCCAGGCCAGAAACAAATACCTTTGTGGCATAAAATTCTTACTCCAGACCGATCACGCAGCTTTAAAATGGCTTCTCCAGTTTAATAATCCAGAGGGTCAAGTTACAAGACGGATAGAGAGGCTGCAAGAGTTTGACTTTCGACATCGAACATCGAGCGGGAAAAATTCATGGAAATGCAGATGCCCTATCGAGGAACCCTTTTAGAGGATTTTAAAAGCATTGCCAACGGGCAGAGGAGAAGACGCAAAGGAAACCAAAAGCTTCCATGCGCCAATACAACGTGGGGATCCCTTTGAAAGGATTGCTATTGATGTGGCGGACCCTTTCCAGAACGTGAATCAGTGAATAAATACATCATTGAGATAATGGATTACTTCAGCAAATGGGTTGATGGGCCGTACGCTCTGCCAAATCAGGAACCTCTACGATAGCCGATACTTTAGTAACTGAATGGTCTGTCGATTTGTGTACCTTTTAGAGTTGCATTCGGACCGAGGGCGCAATTTAGAGAGTCAAATTTGTTGTTCCAAAATATGTCAAGTCCTTAGGATTAAGATCAAGGCTACTGCCTTAACACCCGCAGTCAGATGGAATGGTGGAGCGCATGACTAGGACCAATTAACCGGCGTTTTGGCTAAGGTAGTCTCTAGCCATCGAAGAGACTGGGATAGCTTTCGTCACACTCCCTCTTAGTGACTTACCGATCGTCGAATCATGAAACCACGAGATCCCGGCTCGAATAGTTATGCGAAGAGAACTTCCGATCCCATGCGATCTAAAGTTTGGCTGTCCACCAGGAACTGATGTTGCCGAGAAGACTACATAAGTGAATCTGCGTAGAAGAATGAACGCATCCATAGCCAGGTTCGTGTTTCAATTCGAAGTGCCAGCGCCACGATGAAGGAAGCTTATGATGTTTAATATGCCAAGACCAGAGGTATGACAACGGGGATATGTTTGGCTTTACGACCCAAAGAGGCGAAAAGGGCTGCGGCGCCCTAAACTTCACTCATACTGGAACGTGCCATATAAAGTTCTGGAAGCCATCAATCATGTTCTCTACAGGATTCAGAAGGCACACGTGTAAAGCCCGAATTGTACATTTCAATCGACTTGCCCCTTATCATGAAAACAACGTAGATGGGGCGGAGCGGCAAATCCAACCAGAACCGAACATGACATTTGACCAATTTATGCTAATGGCCATAAGAGTCGGTATGGGTGACACGTGAAGTACAGCAAGATCTGTTTACCACTTCACCAGAGTAGCCCTGGCCACACTATGTGGCTCCACTTGCGAATGTCGAGAGGCATAGCAAAGGTCTTAAGAGGTTTGGAAGAGTGCACGAGCTGCGACGATCTAACCCGAAGTCGGAGAAGTACTCCAGATAACTGAAGAGGGTATCAACCGAAAGATCTAT